TAGTGTACAAATTCATCCGAGCACAACCGGTGGGGTTGTGGAGGGCGAGAGTGTTTCTTTGACCTGTACTGTAGCTGTCTCTCACCCTCCAGCTACGGTTCGGTGGTTTGAATTTCCGCCTGGTTCCGGTGGAGCACTTGACTCTGGACGCGAAATTACAGACCTCGCTCAAATAGACATGGTAGGCTCCTCTTGCATAAAGCAAAATTGTGACTCTCCTATGTCCATGGTTTTAAGAGATCGACATTTTATTAGATCAAATTTGTAAGTAACTGTTATAGAATGTTTCCATGCTGTTAGAAGGTTCGAATGTCAGTACAATAAAAGCCAGACAGTATCTTCTTCTGCGTTCGATGATGCGCTTAGTGTTTTACATTTAAGACACCGGGTGAATACGGTGGCATGTTAGTGGACAGTACACTGAGGGTCTCAAAGACCTTTCGTTCCAACTCGCAGACTGAGTACCGGTGCGTCGTCAACCAGGCCGCTCTCAATAACCCCGTTGTCGCAGAATATAAACTGGATGTTTTGTGTGAGTCTTATTTGGACTATATATAAAACTTAGAATTTTAGTCCAAAACACCCTTGTAAATGTGTAGAATTACGATTTGATGTTTGAAAATGTAAACATATTCGTTGACTTTCTATTTAACTTTATAACCCTTCGAATGTATCGGAAGCATTAATGAAAATAAACTAGTTTTATTATCCAAATAAAATTGCTCATTATTAATTGCACCATAGTTAATTGGATAAGTCGTTTCGCTTGGGCACAGAGGAATTGTTAATACCTTGAGCCCTTTTTCGCTTCGATTATGAAGTCGAAAACTTTGGAACCTAGTTTAGTTTGCGTGGGATCGTTTTAAATAGCAGCCACAAATTCGTATTTGATTCTTGTACTGTCCCATTTAGTCAAATGGCTAGTAGCTTGGGGCACTCCATCGAATTAGGAATTAGTCTAGGAAAGGGCGCAGGTCTAATGTGGGAGAATCGCACTGAAGCTGGGAACTTTCTGTGCGTGTAGGTGTGTCTGCGCACCAAGGCAACGGTCGAGTCATTGATTAGCCAAATTAACCTTTACGGAGAACGGAACACGCACATGTGTGATTACCTCACGTACCCCTGCCTCTGCCCCTGTCCCTACCATCACTGGATTCCCCTCTAACCCTCTTTGCTTTCAAAGTTCCTCCATTGATAGAAAATATTATCGGACCAACTTGAAGAAAATTACCCCTGCAAATGGCTATCATTTTCCAACTCTTATAATAACTACATTTCTGGTCTCTGATTCTCCCCCTGTTTTCTCTTAGTTAGCTCACCTTTTCTGTCCCTTCATTTTGTTTATGCCTCCTCTTTTTTTATTACTCGACTTCTTGTAAATTTTACACTTCCTTTTATTAAATCAACGGATGTCTCATGACTTAATGGTGGTGTCATGACCAGTTACTGAGGTCCCTGTTGTATAACCAGCTGTCGTTCATTCGCTTCCAAGCCTTTACACCTGACTCCCTTACTGTACGTTTGGACTTTGAACACCTTTAACAAGATGTAATTAAGATATATGAGAAGCAGAAAAGCATAGATGTGTCCCTTACTAACATTCCGCAGTATTATAGCAAAAGAATGTGTAAAATGAGTCTTAGACATTAGTTGCTGCTCTTTTTAGACCCACCCACCGTAGAAATTGTCAGCCTACCGAATGATCCAACGGAAGGTCAATCTGTGACTCTCTCCTGCCTCACTCACGGAGGGATGCCGGACAAGAGTTTCTCATTTTCCTGGTGGCACGCCAAGGATCTCAACTTTCCTCATCCCGCAACTCCAAATGGCCAACCCGCGACTCAGCAGGAGCTCTCCCCTGTTCTGGCCAAATCACTGGTGTCTTCTTTAAACATCACTGTTCTGGATGAGCTCTTCTCGACCCATATGTCTCAGATTCCAGGTCACACGGGACGTCATCTACTGCTGGACGCCATTACAATCAAGGAAAATGGTTGGTACGGCTGTCAAGTTGCCAGTGGCGCTGGCAATGCTCAGAGTCTGCATTTACTTCTTATAAATTGTGAGTGCCGGATGAGTCACTTAAAGTATAGTAGCAACAGTGGCAGTAGACCTGTTGACACTAGGTAATAAAGAATTTCATCTAAGAAAACATTCAAATTATTAATGCGCGAAAGCAAAAAATTCCAAACCTTCGATAAATTGCTTGTTTATTATTTTGCAGATGCGCCGAGAATTCATCCTAGCACAAAATTTGTACAATACGCCCAACCGGGGATGAAGACGGAATTTGTGCTCACTGTTGAAGCCAGGCCAGCGAGAGCAGAATTTATGTGGTTTTGGATCGGCGAAGACACCACGTTGGCCAGCAAGGCCAGGAGCAAAATCCTATCTCAGTCCTCTGCTCAAGCAACAGTTCGAAGTGGACGCTCCACAGCGCCTCTAAAAGCCATCTCCACCTCAGTCGCGCCTTGGCTCAATCGTGTGAAACAAACGTCCACCGTGACCGGAGTCAATGGCATAACGTTCACTCTTGCATTCAGAGAGGTGGTTGAATCAGACTTTGGGCTTTACATGTGCCAGGTCAACCACAAAGCTGGTAATCGCGAATTCTACTTTGAACTAAAACCTCAATCGGGTGAGCTTTTGAACAGTTTCGTCTACTCTCGCTAAGTTAGTAGAACATGCTATTTGTTCTTTGGGTTAGATATTAATCATCGTGATGACAGATCATACCAAACTGCAATTGCTTCATGTTTTTTACGCCCGAATAGGGAATGATATTTTGCAAAAGTGCCGGCTTTGTGGCTTTACTTAAATAAAAAACAATATGAAAAAATCGACTGAATCAGTAATGCATAATTAGAAAGTTAAAGGAATTTGCCAAGCGTTGGGACTCTTGGCTTTGCATACAAATCAACAAGCACTAATCTACTTTGATTGATGTAGTTACTGTCAAAGCTGCCTCATGGCATGCCTTCGCCGACGCGAAAACACTTACCACTGCAATGATCAACTGCCGCATTTTTCACATTTATTGGTAGCCTGATGACCACATTAATTTTTACTAAAATCGTCTGATATTTTGACAGTAAATGACAAGCTGTATGGAACCAACCGGGACTCTAATTATCTCAAAACGAATATCCGTATTTACTTTAACAGAGCTTGAATTCGCTATATACGTTTCCTTCTTTTAACAAAATTATTACCGTGAAGCAAATTGCAGCTTCAAAAAGGAAGACTAGACGGTGTGATTTGTGTAGAACTGAGTAGTAGTAGCAGTAACTGTGACCTTAAGTGAATCTTTGGTCGTAAAGCTTATTTAGAGTTGCTCTTATTTCCGTTTTCAGATGCCAAGGGTATAAATCCCGACAGTATTCGCATCACAAGCGAAGGTCGTAAAGTACGCGTAGAATTTGAGCCACCTAACAGTCAGTTCTACTCAAGAATAGTCCTCCGAATCTGCTTTTCTTCTCGGGTCACCTCCAATCCGGTGGTAGGTTCAGGAAGAAGCGTTCGACCTTCAGGAGAACTGGTCTTTCTTCGACCTATCAAGGACACCTCTAGCGCCTCAATACCCGCATCTACTGTGGATGTTGTTGGTGCAACAAATTCTGTTAGTAGTGACGAATGTGGTGACTACGAGGTGACATTTGCAGAATTGGGGTTCCTTCAAGTTGAGCTGGACCGACCTATCGCTGAATATACTTTCCAGTTTCTCGTCTACCATGGCACACAGCTCCAACAAATCACTCGCCCAGTTCGGTGGACCATTGGTAATCATTAATTTACTGCAAAAATTAGGGTGTCTAGCATTGTATGTGCATCTGGGCAAGGCTTAATAATTGACCAGCTCCTGCACTCGATGCTGTTGACAGGATAGAGTGCAAAACGGACAAGTAAAGCCAATGATGCATCCCCTGTACACTGCTAAGAACTTGACGAAATGGTTAAACTTTTGAAGCAGTCAGGCGCCAAAACTAATCATAGCTAACCTGGACTGAAAGCATTTAGTTCAAAGAGGTTTACTGGGCCCAGGAAGCAAAGCATTTACAACAACAAGTAGTTGCTTCATTTACACTATTACTTGCGTCTGTTTCAGGAAACCAGACTCAAGCCTCAGCATCATCAAAGCTACTGGTACAGTTAATCATTGGGATTCTCATCACGCTCCTCGTCGTCTGCCTCATTGCATTCCTTATCTACTACTTCTGCAACTGTATTAAACGAAAAAGTAATTTTGGTTTTTTTAAGGACCAAAATTTATTGTTCAAACGCCATGCATTGAAAATTTCATAGGGCTCACATCCTCATAACCTCCTCTTTTATGTCCCTTAGATATGAAGAAGCTCGCTCCCGCAACTAGTAATGGGTAAGTAGAGCAGAGCTAATCTTCAGCTAGGGCTATCTTACGTGACCCGTTGGGGTGTTACTAATTAAGAATGGAGCAAATACTTCAGAAAGGTACACCAGATAAATCCCATTTAAACGGTTCCGGTGACTGATAAATACTAAACTCCAAATCAAAAGTGCGGGTTCACAATATTAAGACCGTTGTTACTCTTCTCTCTATGAGCAGCGAGGCACGATGCGGCTTGACGGAAGACCAGTAGGACTACTGATAGCGTCAAAGAAAGATGCACTAAGTCGAACTTGTTTTTTGATTATCGCAACAACCGTTATCAAGGTGCTTATTATAAAACAATAAATACATTGCGGTCTTAATTATTGCCAAGTACACTAAGAAGGGACGCAATCTTGGCGAAAGCAAGTGTTCAGGCGTAAAGATGAAAATAATTCCGCTTTACATATTTTAGCGGTGCCTCAGAATTTGTGCGACTAAATGCCCATATACTACTCTCATATCATAAAAAAGTTTAGTGCTTTGACTTTTGGTTTTGGGAAACCTTATTGCGGATGTAGTTTTTGCAAAGGCTACTTAAAGCTGTATTATGGCTCTTCAAGATTAGCATCAATAGACTTCTAAAAGTGACTAACAAAGTTAGCTTAATGCATCGAGTCAAAGTGGATATCAGAATTTACCTAGTGTCCCGATTTTACTCCTTATACTGTTCATTTTAGCAATTAATGGGAGCTATGCATTTTACCTGGAACTTAAATTTGATCTTTAGGCTACTTCATGGACCTCGAACATACCAAACTTTGGATTCTAACAAACCTTTTGCATCCCCACCTTCGGGAACTGGTTCGATCTGTGCGGATATAGGTTTGTTGCACCCCGCCTATGCTCGTCAGTCTGTGGGTGAGCATGTCGCCTTCGTCCTGTAGTCTAAGCTTTTCTCCCACACCACAAATGTGCGCGTCTGATGCTAAGGTAGCTTGGCAAAAACACCAGCTCTAAGATACGAAAAAGCTGCATCATTACCTCCACTGGGCTTGTATTACTTTCGACTACCACCCCATAGTAGCAGGAGTAAGAGTCTTACTTTATAAAAGTTGTTTAGACTTGGTGGCTGTGCATGCTCTTCTGCTTGGCTTTATGCCCACGCGTGATGGTAGTCGTCGTTACTCCTCTATTTGAACGGGCGAATATGTAGCACACAAGCGTGGCTGCTAAACCATGCATACACTTCATCGCACACCACACGGACCACGTCGTGTTGTGCAGTACTTTCCTGGGCTATAATGGACTGATTAACATGTGTCCGCTTCGCTTTTACTGAGTTGTGCGTGTGAAAGACGAAGAAATCTAAAAGATGCTGCATGTTGGTTTAGGATCGGGTTCCCTACATACCGGGCCCATGCCCACCCTTTCTATTGCAAGTTCGATCAACGAGGACAATGAGAATCGACGAACACCAGGTGTGTTCCTTGCTTCTAGCATCACAATGGGTTATTTGCTGGTTTTAGGTAAATATACGTGGATCCGGCCCAATGGGCCACGTGCCAACATCTCTGAGGAGTTATTAAGCTAAATGGGGTAAAGTTATTTAAAAAAAGCGGTTGCAAACATTTTGGTCTGCAAGTGCCTAAAATATTACTTATCAGTATATTGAAAATTTATTTAAAATGAGAAAAAGTTTGAGTCATTTATTCGAGAAAATTAAAGCTTTATGATGTCTAAAATACAAATGAGCA